TCTTCTCGTTTACATCTTCAGTGGAGGATTTCGGATCTTGCAAGTCAAACGTTGAGACTGTGAACGTAGTGTCCACTGTCTCGGTGCTTACACCAGACATTAATTCGCCATTTACTTCGTTGCTTGATTTTAATTTTCTTGCCGCATTTGTGAAAAGTTGGTTCGTGACCTCGACATCGCTGATGCCGACACCATCCTCCCTTTCTGTTGTTATGGAATCAGTGGAAGGACTAAATTTCGTGGAAGATTCTTTTGCAACTCTTTCTGAAATCTCTTTCTTCGGTATTTTGCCTCTGATTCCTTTCTTGTAGAATTCTTCAATATCTTCTAGGCTTCGCCCTTCGGTCTCTGAGAAAGTCCAGTAAATGGCAAAGAATCCGACGAAGCCAAGACTGCCGTAGAGCCAGAAGACCCCGTGGAGACCCAGTGCCGATTTCAGGGACAGGAACGTTTTCGAGGCCAGGAACGCTAGGATGTAAGAACCCGCCGCGGCTGTACCACTTGCTAGTCCGCGGCTCCTGAAACAGATGATTTAATTAACTTTTGACCAACTGAGTCGACGTATAGTCTACGAAATTCTGTGGTGTAACCAACTGCAAAGCGCCTCATTTAATAATTTATGGGCATTTACGAAATATGCGTTATTTCATTTATGAGTGTCATCTGGGAATTACCGTATTCGACTGTTTGTGTAAACTATGGGCCTTATACTCTCTAATGCACAGCGTGTGATTGGTTGCTTCAAGTCATGTCCAAAGTACTGTGTTTTGATTCTTTAATCCCATCTGGAAAGTAAGTCACATGAGCGTTTAATTGAAGAAGTAAGGTATCTTCTAATATTACGATGTTCAAATTAACTCCGTGAATACCCACCAAGTGCTTAAGAATTTATCAGGGGTTAGATTTAACGACGTATCACTAGCTCAGACTTCTTAGCGTCAAATGGTAGTTTAGTTAAAGGGAAAGGAATTGGTTGTGGCCTGGTAACTTTTTAAGTTAGTTACTGTTTCATTTCTACTTAACCGCCACTAAACGAACAGCATTACCTGAATGGAAACACCTCGCTGAGAATCATCCACGGTATCGGCTGCACCCCAGTGTTTTGCATGAAAGCATAGACCACAAACAGGGTCAGGGGTGTCCAAGAAGCAGTATGCCGCGTGCCACCTGTGGCCACATCTCCGGGTGATAGCACAGCGAAGGCGTAGGCCCCTAGGAGGAGGGAAGCCATAGATGCCACAGCCATCGAGACAAGCGATAATGGGCGCTTACCGCACCAAGATACTCCTACCATGCAGACAATATTGCCTACGAGACCAACCACGCCGGTTAATACCTGAAATTATAATTAAAGAGGAGCTTTAGTTTTTATTTGGAGCTACCACAGTTTCAGGATGGACAGAAAATGATTTCGTTTGGAATACTTATTACAAGAATCGGTGGCATGTAAGAAATGATTAGGCGAGCCCTACAAGACCACAATTTTAGTTGGATTTGAGGGAGAAAGAAAAACACATGGTCAGTGGCTAGGTGTGAAACACTTACTGTAACCCAGTGAGCGTCTAAAGGCAACCCAAATTCGTCAAACACTTGAACCAAGTATGGTCGCATGGCAGTGAAACCAGAAGCGTGTTGGAAGAAGAAGAACATGAGGACCAACGAGAGCGGCCGCAGAGTCTGTGGCTTCAGCAGCTGTCGAATTTTCCCCACGCAGACGCCTTCTCTGCAAGCGACGTCCGATGGAGACACACGCTCGGCATCGTCACCCTCAGCTGATTTGGGGGGACCGTGCTTTAGCCTTTTCATCTTCTCAGTGTAAAGTACGAGCTCGTTGAATTCTCTGCTGACGGCGGCTGGAGAGACCCAACCTCGGAGCCAGCATAGCGATTTCTCGGCTTCTTCGAAACGACCCCTAGATAGCAGCCATATTGGTGTCTCAGGAACCTGAAATGTGCCTTTTAATAATTGTGGAATACTTTGTCCTGGAATACCTAACCTCATTGTAAATGCTTCTGCCAAGAATAATATTTACACCGAATTATTATGAAGGAACTAAGGAATCAAGAAGACAATACGATTACAGCAAAATACAGGAAGATGCCAACAAAAAGTCTGCAAAACTCTAAATGTGTATTTTAAATTATTATCCTAATTGCGTATGTTTGTCACATACCGTGAACTACAAATGTAAACTACGAGGCGCGTCCTCAAAGTAAGTTTTCCTGGTTCCGTTTACAGAAACAAAACACAATTTCATGTAAATATTTATTGCAACAGATACAGCAAGTGTCTAGCTATTTTTCAACATATTCGCCACCGGAATTGAGACATTTGTCATACCGTGGGACCAACTTTTGAATACCTGTGTCGTAGAAGTCTGCCGCCTGGGATTGGAACCACTGTGTGACCACCATCTCCGCCTCTCTGTCATTCTCAAAACGCTGACGCTGACCGGACAGGAATTTCTTGAGGTGTAGGAAAAGATGGAAATCACTGGGAGCGAGGTCCGGGCTGTAGGGTGGATGATTAAACACCTCCCAGCTGAACTCCTGCAGGAGACTTGCTGTCCGTCGAGCCGTGTGCGGCCTAGCGTTATCACTGACCGCACTTCACAGTCCGCGGGAGCTGGAATAAGAACCTCCATCTTCAACAGCTGCAACGATGCTACTGTGAGAACGCGGGAAGTACCGTTAGTACATGCGCCATGCTACGTCATTGCTCTATCACGTACGCACAATCGCTTCGCGCAATATAAGGTTTGCTAGCTGTGGGACGAGTGGGAAACTTACTTTGTGGACGCGCCTCGTACGATTATGAGCGTTCTAATTCTTTAAGAAGATTCGTTTATTGAATCTCAGGTATCTAGAAATAGAATTCCTCGCGCAGGGTTCTGGCACTCACAGTGTCAGCCTATTCATAATCACTGACTCGGCCTCTAACCTGGGTTATGGCGATCACCGTGGCAATAGGTACCGCAGCGCTGATAGCCGCCGCCGTCCTCCAGTTTGACACAGTGCCCAGCAGAAACTCGAGGAAGAACCCGAGTTGCACGAACATACCTGCAACAGGACACCACCTCACTTCAAATACATCGACGAAACCCTTTGAGGATATTTGGTGACTGGACTGCGACTCGGCAATTCCGCTATTCGCGAACACTGCGTCGGTTACCGCCATTCCTAGACGCTCGGCTGCGGTGACAACTGAGATTGTGGCTGTGTCGTAGAATAAAATTCACTCTCCGATATGAGACTTGAGGTGTACAAGGAGGCGAAGACGTCGTCGTAAGTCTGCTGAGTTCTAACGCCGTGTAGACTTCTAGCTACGTACCGACGTTTCGGACGAACAATATTGCCTCCACGTTGATACAGCCTTGCAGCTTGGGATGGTCTATGTGTCTTGTATTTTTCACAATTCTGTATTTTATTTCCGTACTAAATACATACATCTTTATTACATTCCACTAATCCATAAGAGAGACAGATGACAATAGAATATCGAAAAAGCCATAATAATAATAATAATAATACAATACATATTATAAAGTACAATTCATACTATTATATTAATTTCGCGTAATACAGACAAAGGGCTCACCTAAATTAATGGTAAGTTACAAATAAATCTACCCATTACATACAGAAATAAATTATCAATTATTTGTGAACGATATAAATTCATTGACAGATTAAAATGAGTGTTTAATTACGTATCTTTTAATGGTACGTTAAATTGTGCCTTTTTATTTACAAGACAAGCGAGCAGCAGCATGTTCTCTGCGTACTGTGGCGAGAAGAAAAGTTTTTATTTTGTAAAATTGAGCAGACGATCCATTCGAACACACAGATTATTACGAGGCTAAGGCACTTTCGTGTAGCTGCTACTTGCCTGAGTATGAAGTGAGGATTCCTCGCAGCTGCGGCTGACTGATCTCCCCGACGTACGTGATGATGGGCGCCTCCATGAATCCGACGCCCAGTCCCATGATGACGGCGGACAGGTACAGCATCGGCACTGAGCTGGCAAAGTAGTAGATGAACCAACCGATGACGTGGGGGAAGTTGACCAGGATCATGGACTTCTTCCGGCCTAGCTGTTCCAACACAATACCGGACAGGACACTCCCCACCGGCTGGCAGATGAACATGATGCTTCCTGCAACACCGGAGGGCATTCAGAAGTCTGAGGCGTGTTCTTGGCGATTAAACTCGGAAAATGTTTTAATTCAGAATATTTTATCTTCGCCTAACCTGCCTTAAAATTACAGGAAATCAAAGACTTGACGGAGGAATTAAAATATTTTCCATTCCTAGTCACAAGGTAACGTTAGTGTTTCTGGTATGAAGATGCTTCTCCAGTGAATTCCCTAATTGAAAACTCTTCAGCGATATATATTATTCGTGGCTATGGAATCCTTTGGGGTGGGTTGAGTTGATTTCTTTTAGCAACATCCTCATGGAAACAGTGCATTAACGACCGAGAGTTCCAAAACACTTGCTTTCATGACAAATAAATCTTAACAATGTAAGACTTGAGGTTCTCACAGCGGTGAGTATGAAGATTTCTGTCTTCTGGGTTATTGCGCTGTGTAGTCTGGTCGATGTTAACCAACGTTTCAGAGGTCATACTGCCTCCGTCATCGCCCTGATGACGGAGGCAGTATGACCTCTGAAACGTTGGTTAACATCGACCAGACTACACGGCGCAACAACCCAGAAGACAGAAATCTTCAAATCTTAACAAAACTACGTTTTATCGTGTTTCTCTCTCGCTCTCCCCCTCTCCTTCCACCAAATTGAATCCCACGTCGGAACGTTGCGCTCACAAGTAGCTACTGACGACATCTATACTCCAGGACGTGAAGCTCACATGTCCGCCGTGGCCGGGGAATATTTTCGTGGTTGGTGGCGCCATCACTTCTCTTCGAGCAAATATGTACTATTTTAGAGACCTTGTCTTCTTACACGCAGTCTATTTGCTACCTGAAATTTCCAAGCAACTGATAATTATTGAAACGTCTTCAGCAGTCGCTGTCTCATTCCCATTTCTTCGTTTTGTAGCATTTGGCTAGGGACCAAATTATATACAGGAATGACATAATAAATGTTCGAGCTTTTCTCTCTAGTCATTGTCCGATCTTTTTGCTCATTCTCCATCTGCTTCTGCTCTCTATTAGCCTTCATCATCCATTTCCCATCTCGCCCATCTTCCCGTTTCTCTTCGCTTATTCTTCTGACAACCGCGCCCTTGTACAAGGCCTCAAAAATAAATTTCCGAAGGCGGTTCACTTACCGAACCACGACGTCTGCTCGCTGTTCAGTGCCAGAGGATCCAGGGTGTTGCTCAGCGCCGGGATGACGATTGTAGGGAACGCGACGGTCATGCCGAGATCCAGAAGGATCATGTTCTTCGCTGTAGTCGCCAGCACCTGCACACAGATTCACAGTTTGTTTCGTGCATCGTTAAAGGCACTGATAAATCGGGTTGGTAAGAGACCAACAGGAACCCTAGAGTCTTTAATCAGACCAACAGGAGGTTTGCAGGGTCCTTGAGAACCTCGAGGATGTAAATCTAGCCCAGAAATTCCACTCTTACATGAGAGCCGAAGGTTCATTACTGCTTTTACATCAGCTCACGACTGGACCTTGTCCTGAGTCTAGTATACGCACTCATATCTTATTTATTTTACGATCACTTTTAATATTATCCTCCCATCTACACCCAGACTTTCAAAGTGGTCTCATCTTCCCATTACGGTTTCTGATTAAAAATTTTGTATCCACTTCTCGTCTCCCCATTAGTGCTTTATGCCCAGCCCATCCAATTTTTCTTAATTTATCACCCTGATGGTAATTAAGGGTAGGCCTCCTCGTTATGAAGCTCCAAATTTTGTAATGTTTTCATTCCATCTGTTGCTTCCCTTTTTGGACCAATAACTGTGTCGCCATTTGAAGTAAAAGCCCATAAGACATGAGTTCTTTTAATAAATTACAGTACAGTTTCTTATCAATGACGCTGAGTTTCGTGAACATAATTATGAAATCCCCAGTCATTTTTTCAGCCTTGGATTTTACATCCGGACGTCTCTTCTAGCATATTTATAGCTCACTCAGTTATGCGTCTGTAGGTACGAATTATGATTAATATACGAGGTGCGATCGGAAAGTTTCAAGACTGCGCGTATAAAAACCCGTACACTTATCTCAGGTATTAAATTCATCCATCACCCTCGAAGTAGTTCCCCTGGGAATGAACACAACGATCCACTTAACAAAAGCACGAATATTTTAAAAATGCATATCTGGTAAATGTTAATTAGTGTAAATCATTCAATCCATACCTGAGGCACCGCAGTGCGGAAGCGCCCGGCTACCTTAACCGGCTCATCCTCGGTTCTAGCAGCGGCATCACCGCCAGGCAAACGTGACTTTGCCATCTTCCTGCAAAACAGAACACCCTGTATATCATTTTGACACAAGTGGTATTTATTACTATTTCCAGTGAATTACTATTTGTCATAATGTTTTATGGAGATATATCCCGACATATATTGTAATGTACCCGTCTGTTCTTGCAGAATACAAGTAAAATATTCTAAGCACACTATGACTAAAAAAATATGTCCACGCATTCTATATGCCTTTATGTTGTGGCAACGTTTGCGTACCTCTCGAATGCTACTACATTTATTCGAAATCGGTCGAGAATTTTAAGAAACGAAAAGTGCATTGTCATAGGCATAGGCAAGTAGACCGAACCTCCACATCGAACGTTCATTTGACGCATAAGATGCATACATTCATTGTCTCAAAACAAGGTCGTCTTTCCCAGAAATGCACTCTGTGATATTCTGTCCCCCTCCCCCCTTGTGATTCTTTTGTTTTATTTCCAAGGTCACGTGGGTGATTCTTTATGTAACAGCTGAGGTGAGCGCCTTGCAGTGCCACACTGACATCCTTTCACAATTCTGAAGTTGTAAATTAAGTTGAGCGGAAACTAAGCAAACCTGGTTAAGTAAACCGACCGGTTATCGCCGAGATTCATTGCTGTGTAGTGTTCAGAATTTGTGCTTCGTATTCGGAAAATACTTGGTGCGATTCTCAGCTAAAGACCCTGGTTTTCCTCAGTTTCTCCAGCCAAATTATACGATAGTACCTTAGAGTGGACCAGGGCGTCGGATGTTTCTCCGCTAATGCTCCTGAAATGAATCCGGGAGGTCTACGTTTCGAATCCCGGCCGTAACTTTGACTACTCTTGAGATGTTTAATAAAGTTCCATAGGCATTCTGGCGAATATCGGGTAAGGAAATTTAAATAGGCCACTACAGCTTCCTTCGTAATATGTTCCAAAATTATATTATGCCATTTGTGTGGTTGGTCAGGGCTTCATTAAATAACTGAGAACCAGTTTGAACCATGGCCTTCCTTTCACTTTTACAGAGGTCAATGAATGCTCTCTTTGATGCTATGACGCATTCCAGATAACGCAACCGGCAACATGCCGCTAATTAATCAAGGCTGAAATATAATTAGTAAACTTCTCTAACTAAGAGTGAGAGACCGGGATTCACATCTTGCTCGTTAAATTAAGACGAGCTGTCAGATGGTGTAACGGTAACGCAGTCTGGAGATGTCCGTTACGAATCTCGGTTACCGGCCAAGGTGATTAAGGGTTTTACTATTAATCAGTCTCTTCCAAGCAAATTCCGATCTGAAATGAGCCACGAATCTTCCTTCGAAATCATTCATCGGTCTTCAATTTTGTTCACTTATATATAAGCTCTGTACATGAACTTTTGTTTGTTTGTTGTTCATTTAACGACGCTGTCAGTATTTCAGACTATGTATATCCTCGAATCGTGTGATAATGAATTGCAAAGAATATGCAAGGGAGCGGTCATGGCCTAATTTAAGGTACTATCCCAGCAAGGCATGAGGAAAAACGCGAAAAGCCGGCCTCCGGACCGAGATTTGAACCAGATGATTCCCGAATTCGGAGCAGGACATCTGGTCTCTGTACTTGAAGGAGGGTCGTTAAATAGCCCTAGTGTGAATCCAGGCACACCCTGAGTACCTCATCAGTACGGTAGGTCATTTACGAGAGTTAAATGCAACGTGTCGGGTGATAAAGAGTCCAACTCCACGAAACAGAATGATCTTTCTGAAGTTAATAATAAATAATTTTGCCGCATTTTATAAAATTCAAGAATCCGCCACTGGATGAGATGAACCGAGTTCATATCCTCACGCCTACTTTAAGATCAATTTTAATATTATTTTCCCATTTGCACCCAAGTGGCCAGGTTTACCGATCAAAATTTTGTACACTTTTCTGTGTTCCTCTTTTCTCAAGTGTTTCGCTCACCTCATTCTCCTTGATTTCGTCGCCCTAGTAACAAGATCCTGTAAGAAAGAAGTGAAAACTTTGTCTGACGCTCCAGGCCGTTCATTTCGTGGGCTGACGAGCAGGAAAGTGATAATACTGAATACTGACCGGTTTTTACATTCCAACTACTTTTGTTTCCGTAAACTAGTACAAAATTGTGATAAAGAGCAATGCACGTGGGCTACGTATTTCCGTAACAATATCGGGTGATCTGTTTAAAAAACGGTTTTGGCCTTGTCGTAAACTGCCAGTTTGAGTTTTTTTTTCTTCAAAATTTTTGTTCCTTACAGTGTACATGAAAGTCCGCCATTGGGCCATGTTTTGAGCTACTTGAATATAATCCACACCTCTACATTTAATTTCTCCAATATCTCTTTTAATATTATCATCCCATCTGCGTTTAATTATCCAGAATGACATATTCAGTTTTGTGTTCTATCAGTCAGCCTTATTTTACTACTTTAACTACGTAGATTTTTGGATTATGTTTAATTTATTATAAGTTCGTTCGATTATACTCTTTTGATGGGAGATCGGCCCATCGCAAAGAACACGCCTGCGCAGAACTATACAGAAAAACGCGGAAAAGGGTCGAGAATTGCTCTTAAAGGATTCGAAGTCCTCACCCCCCACTGTCGTACTGTTCCAAATCCATGCGTTTCGTAGCCCGAGCGGTCACGTGAGTCGAAACTGGTGGACTTCACATACTGACGCCTGGAACGATGGACAGAAATTCCTAACACATTTCTTACTCATAAAGACTCAAGAGCGCCAACAGTGGACTGACGTTTGGGACTGTCACTCCTGGACTCTGTACGTTCTTCAGGTATCCAGCACAAACTGAACCCACCACTGTCCTCGCTACTTGCTCTGATGCGATACTGGTGTGAGCTGCAGGATCGCTCCGTGGGGCAGAGTCCGCCTTCAGAAGCTGATAGTCGGTCAGCTGGTCGAGAAATTCCCTGGCTTGTTGGGAACCTCGAAAATCTCTTTATCGTGTTCGCAATAACCGCCAATTAGACCCTTGAATTCATGGTCCAGTTTAATATTATTATCCCTTTTACGCCTGCCAAATGGTTTCTTTCGTTTAGGTTCCTGGTCAAATTTTTGTATGCATTTCCCCGTCTGCATTCTATATGGGGAAGGTGGTGTAGATTTATAGACGTAAGAATAAATATTGGGTGGTATAGCGGTTAGAACGCTGGCCTTGAAATCCTGGGGTCTCGGGTTCGATTCCCGGCGGTGCCCGAATTTATAACTTGTGTTGGGCAAGGCCGTGGTCTAGGCAACACGGAGTTTTCCTCCGTGGCATCCCAACAATTACTCCATTCACACACAGAAGAAGGCAATGGCAAACCACTTCTGGATCATCTGCCAAGAACGTATATGAACAGGTCCAGTCCGAGAAAAGGATGGAAGGATCCTGTTCATATGGACCTGTCGTCAGACAGAACACTAAATAAAAATAGTAACAATTGACCCACTAAAGATAGTTATGGTGGAGCTGTGCTTGTACTGAGAACTCAACTCAGTAAATATGAAACTTAATCAGGCCCAAAACACTAAATAACTTGCAGTTGATATAGTCAGAGCCAGGGACCAGTTGGGTGTGCCTTTTTGTTGTAAACAGTCCTTGTTGCGTCATTTGGGATTTCTGACACTGGAGTGAGACTAATAATAGACATTCAGCACAGGAACTTCACAAACACGGGGCACAAAGGGATCCGGTCAATTGTATATCTCTGTCTTTCTCTCTCTGTGTCCATCCGTCCACGTCTACGTCTATGAATGCATCTATCTGCCTGTCGCTTTCTATATATGTACCTATTCGTCTATATATCTCATCCATCTCTATAGCTTGTCCACCAATCTACGTTGCATATCTACCCATGTGCATTTATCTACCTTCCACATTGCGTCGGTCAATCCACTTATCTCTCTGTGTTTTCTAACTGTACTCCAGCTTAGTATCTCCATGGTAACATGGTTTCCCGCACTTGATAATTATTTACAAGGCCAAGAACAGATTCCTTGCTTTTATGGCATAATAATCCTTCCCTCTAATTGTACAGCCAAAATTGCATGTTAAAATCTTGTTTCATTCTGTCATCTCAGATTTTAACAATTAACATCAGCTGTGTCTATGAGATGACTTCCATGTGTTTTGATATTGTTTTCGCGCCTAAAATATCGATGTGAAAATTGCTTTGAAAAAATCGACGTTGTATGAAAAATTACATTTCTGGTCCTCATGGCGACGAGTAAGAAGATGGCTGTCTTCTGAAAGAAGGGCCTACGTCCTCCTTCATTAGTGGATGAGGAGATGAGAGAAAGGGTAACCAGGCTTTTCTAGATCTGTTGCCGTCCGATTCACTTGTTTTCGTTGTGGGTGGCACCCCGGAAGGATGCGAATTTGTTACACACCCAACATAACGACCGGCCATTTTCTCCTTGTCTGTATTCATAAGCCTTATAGCAAAATAGTTGAATTCAAAATGTATACACAGCTAACTCAATGTCAATACGTCACGCCCAAAAACTTCACCTGTTATGCAACACACTGAACCAGCTGTGACGTTTAAAAGGTAATATATGTCATCTTCCAACAGTACACTCTACACAACTGAATTGAACTGTTATTAGTGACAACTGTCAGGATCGAACTCCGAACTTTCCAGATCACGACTGCTGCCAGTGACAATAATCTCTAGTCCTATATGCCTTCCTGTCATGCAGTTCGTACAAAGAAAGCATAGCAATGTCAGTATCATGACAGTAAGCTGAAGATGGGAGTAGAGTCAACTCCCGAAACGTCGGGTATGTCAGATATACCTCAGACAAAGAACAGTATTAAAAGTAATGTTCCATTCATGATTCAACCATTAACCACTTAAATCGTTCAGACAGTACAACATTTCCAAAAGTTTATTTTAATATATTTTCATCTTCACTTAGGTCTACCAGAGAGTCTTTTTCCTTGATACTTTCCGACCTAAATATTGTAATATATTCATATTTGTTGCGTGTTGAGTTCTTTGTTCAACCACCCAAAAAG